ACATGCAAAAGATTTTTTAAAGATCCATGAATATTAATGGTGAAGATAAAAAATTAGAATAAATGATGCATTTGTTTTAGTGAGTTTCCTCAGTTCCAGTCAAAAGAACTAATTATTCATGAAACACATAGGCTGCCTTTCTATAGTAAATAGGATTCAATAAAAAATTGTGTCATTTTCAAATTTCAGGGAGGATAGAATGAATTTTCTATTGTAATTACATGTACTTAAATTTTCTATAAATCATGTACTAATATATAAATTAAGGTAAAGATTATTTTGTAGATATTGGCAGAAACCAATGATGATGGCAAATGATTTCAAATAGTTTAATATTGGAAATTGACAGTAATACTTAACATTCCTAAATTATTTGATAGACTTACCCTAAAACAGACAATTTTTCACAAAGTGTTTATTGTATGGATATAGGAATACATACAATATATTTCATAGCATTATGTGTATAATCTAGTAAAAATGGTCAAGCTTCTAGAGATACAAAGATCCAACACATGACCCAATGTTTAATATTTAATAAGGATATTTGGGTTCTTGTAAGAAATTGGCTTTTATATGTCCATATCTACTCTCCATTAATGAATTACTAAAAATTAATGTAACATAAGGTGTAGTACGTAATGCAAGTCACAGTTTATAGGAAATCTCTAAGCCTGATATTCTCTTAAAATAATTAAATTTTCAACTACTGGGATTTCTAATTCCTTTAAATTATTGTTTCACAAAGTAAAATAATGTGAGACATTGAATCGATACTCTGCCTATTCTTCCCACTTGCACTTATGTTGATTTTTAAAATAAAAATAAAATACTTAAATGAGGCAACAGATGAGACTGTGGGACAAAGGGAGACACGAGGAAAGAGAAACAAGAGCAGCCACGGACCACTTACCGCCACGTGTCGGGTGTTCATGATCTAAGCAGGACCAAAGGCCGCTGTAGTGAGCTTCTCAAAGTCAACATTTTTAAAGTGATTTATGCAGACTTTACTATTCAGACAGTAGTTAAGAATTTCTTCAGATGGAAAATGAACTTCCTTTAGGTTCTGGAAGAGGGCAATCATGGTCTGTTTAATATAATACTGTAGACAAATCTGTGCCATCAACTGCTGTGCCTCTGGGAACACAGTTCTCACAGTTCAGTGCTGGCCAGCTGCCCAGGGGTCATTTTAAACAGGTAATGGATCAGTGTGGTCCAATTAAAGTAGGAGAATGGAGACAATCAGTGAATAGGTAGACATGGCGTCATACATAGATGTACCCGCAAGATTTCTAAGTTAATAAAAGAATAACGTCAGGGAACATGTGTGTCTCCTCGCGTTCACTGGGGACATCTGCATGGATCTCCCAGATCATACTGTATATTCCATGGAGCCCTGATTTCCTGTGTCCGCCCTGATCTGCCCGGAGAGACGGTCTTGATCCTTGTCTCTGTCAAATACAGTTGTTCATACCTGATGTGGCCCCCGCCCCTGAGTGATTGAATGAACCGCGTCCCGTGCCCTGAGCTGCACGGGCAGGTGAGGCGCCAGGCGGCGGGAAGCTGAGTAAAGCAAGAACCAATAGAACTCGTGCCTCATATCGAATTTACCGTGTATCACAATCCTTCCAAGCGGTAAAGATACCTCAAGACAAGCTGGGCATAGAAGCCACAGGGCATAAATCTGCAAAGAAGTAAAAAACTAACCCTTTCAAACAATAAGGCTTCTCTCTCACTTACCAACTTTACATTTCCCTGTATGGCCCCAGAAGATGCCTGGTTAGCCAGAGACGGGTAAGATTCCTCAAGGGAGGAACAACCTAAGACAGGCACAGTTGCAGGGGGCCATCAGGTGAGAAACTGGAGATCAACAGAGGTGAGGCTTAGAACCATCCCCTACCCCCCCGCACCCCCGTTCTGAGAGAAATCTGCTGCATTCGTGGATGTTTTATTGCCCTTGTCTAGCTTGGATTAATACATAGTCTACAGGCACACACCTGATCATCTACATTTGCTCTCTTGCAACACTAAACTATGTTTTCTACCTTTATCTTGCATCTACCTACCAATTCAGTATTTTATTAAAAATAATAATAATAAAGAAAGAAATGTGGTATCCACATATAAATCAAGTATAAAAATCAAACGAATATTCATATTTGAACTGACTGTTTATAGTTCATAATGCATGATCAAAACCAAATGTTTCTGTGATGACTGCCCTTGTACTATTCACCATGTAACTTATTCATTATCTAAGAATTTGTTCTCCTTGTAAGAACTTGTTCATTATGCTTCAGAAGATTGGAGACTGACGAAAATTAGGCTTGGGGTGCATTAATGATTATACATTGAGCATTGAGCCCCCTATACAGAATTTTATTGTTGTTAACAACCATTTGATCAATAAATAGGAGAGATGCCCTCACACACACAAAAAAAGAGCCACAATCAATGAGGGTTAGAGTAAGCACAGTCATGTAGTATGTTTTCACAATGTAATATTATTTTTATACTATATTAAATGATTTAAGTGGAGACATTTTCAACCTTGTAAAACCCAAATATGTGCCCAGAATGGCATAAAAATAGCAATTAAGTTACATTCATTGTAGGTGCCATACATTTAAACACTTTGAAGTTAATAAATCCATGAAATGAGCACCAAGAAAAATAAAATATTGTTAACACCCTAACTCCTCTCATCTTATCTTAGATTTGTTTTCCTTTATTTTATATTCCGTATGAATTTATTACATAATGTTATTTTTCTGTCTGGTTTCTTTTACTCAAAACTATGTTGATAATTGAACCATTATGAGGTACAGTAATAGATCTTGTCTAGTAGGTGAATAGTACTGTATTGTACAAGTGTTGCACATATCATCCATTGATATTGACATTTCTGTTGTTTTATATTCTTGGTTTAACAAATATGGCTGCCATAAAGATAATTGTATGAGCCATGGATGCACACATTTATAACTTCTATATTTGCAAAAATTCCTTGGACACAGGAATACATGTAAAGAATCAGAAAATATTAAGAAATTGTGCCTAGGTATAAAGCTGACTTGAGCTGATGAGTGACCCATTTGGACACACATTTTTGGAATTATCAACTTTTCTATTGTGATAGGGCTGTAATTTTTTTCTTATGATAGCTTCAATTTGCATTTCCCACAATACTAATAATGTTAAGACAACTTTCTTAACACTTACTGTCCTTCTAGAACTGATTGTTGGAGTATTTTGACCACTTTTTTGTCTGTTTTGCATAAATGCTTTTGAAATATTCAACTGAATGCAAATGTACAGCCACTAAAATTTATTTCTTAAGTTTTTAAAAATTTTAAAGGAAATCTCTAAATTTGTGTGATTTTCCTAAATTGTGTGACTTTTTCCTATTTTTTATCATTGCAAAATATACCAAAATAAAAATTTTGATCTTCATTTTTTTAAAGTACAGTTCAATCATATCAAATACTTTTATAATCTTTTAGAGCCATCAGTACTCTTTATCTAAATGTTTTCATCTTGCAAAAGTGAAGCTTTTACAGTTGTATCCAGCTGAAGCACATAAGGACCAGAACTTTGACTGCAGGTCTTCACACACTGTATAATCTGTTTGAAGGGTTTTTGTTCTGATAGAAAAAAGTGGACTTGTTTTACCCAAAATTGAAACTCTTGAGTCACTCTATTTTATCCAAGGTTGTGTATGGTTAGTATAGGCTCCCTAAATAACTCATTTTTATACTCAATATCTCTGAGTTGTCATCAGCTACTCATTCAGTAAATTATTTCACTGGTAAATTCTCTCTTCACTGGTAAATTTCAAATATGTATTTTTAAGTGCCCCTTTTTTGTAGAATACTTTATTTTCCTATGCAGTGAAGCATTTGTTTTTCTCCTTATTCTAATATTTAATGCATTAAAGAGTAAAATTCAATTACTGATGTAGACATTTCTTGTGTCATTATTTCAGAGGAATGGCTTCTAAAATAGGTTATGTGTTATATCAAAATTTCTTAGATAAGTTAGCCTTTATAGGTGCCAATATGATTGTGAATTTATGAGGCAGTAGTAAGTAATGGTTTGGAAAATAAAAACTTATGAAACACTAATTTTTCCACCCAATATTAAGAAATCATTACAAAATATTTTGGCTGCATTACAGATGGAACTTTATAGTACCATGCCAAATAAATTAAACTCTCAACCATTGTGAAGAAGGTGATAGGTCCTGATACTCAGAAAAATATACAATAAATAACAAACATGGCAGGGAGAAAATGGAACAGTGACCTCTATTCCCACAGCAAGATTTATCCCATTAAAATGTGTCATTCAGCAAGGTATATTAAAATTAATGTAAACAACAAAGAAGGTAAATGATAGTTTCTATCAATAAGTAGGAAGACATTTTTCACTCCTTTAACTAGGGAGACTAAATATTACAGTTTTTCTTTGTCTTCCCTTGTGGAGATATATTTTTTTTACTTTCTAATGATATCATTTATTAGTTATCATGTAATATGATATAATGAATCAACTATAATTTAAATATTTAATTTAAATTTCCCAATACATAAATGCTATAAATAAAGACATCATATGTATCACTATATTTCATTCAATTGAATAAATTCGTTAGTAGAGCCTAAAGTTGATATCCACATTGGATTTGTTAAGGATTCTTTGGAGGAATTATTGATACTGTTAATATTTGGTGAATCCTAAACATAAATCTAAAATGATCTTCATCAGTATCATTGATCATATCCATTCATTAAAGCAGATACTAGAAGAATTTCATTTTATACAGGGTGAATTGAAAGCATAATGTAAAATGAAGTGAATTTTCATAAGAAAATTGCACAAGTCTCAACTGAGCTGTTTAGGAGGGTGCAGCCTAGTATGTAAAACCCAGTAAGGCAGTGTTTTTCTATATATTTGCAACTCATTCAGTGTCCCAGGAATGCACCTAAACAAGAACTTTATTACTTATGAGAAAAAAAGTTTATTAGTACTTTTCTTACAGCTTCCTTGACCTGTTTGTTTCTAAGACTGTAAAGGATGGGATTCAAGAATGGAGGGACTATGGTGTAAAATGAAGATAGAATCATGTCCTGGATGGTTTCAGATGCTACGGAAGGCTTCAGGTACACATAGGTTACGGTGATGAGGAAGACAGACACCACCAGGATGTGAGGGACACACGTGGAAAAGGCCTTGCCTCGCTCTCTGGTTGGAAACTTCCGCACAGTGGAAAATATGTGAATGTAGGACATGATGATTAAAAAAAAGCAGCCACCACAAACCACAATAGCAGAGATAAAAAGTAAGAGGAAATTGTTGAAGGTGTCAGAGCAGGAGAGCCTCAGCAGAGAGGGGATGTCACAGAAGAACTGATGGACCACGTTGGACTGACAGAAGGACAGCCGGAATGTGTTACCTGTGTGCACAGCTGCATAGATGAGGCCACTGAGCAGGGAGAACAGTGTTGCCCAGACACAGAATCTTTGGTTCATGATGACGGGGTAGAGGAGGGGCTGGCAGATGGCCACATAGCGGTCATGGGCCATGACGGTGAGGAAGAGAAACTCTACATATGCACAATAAATGACCAGGAAGATCTGAGCTGCACAGCCAGCCACTGAAATGGCCCTGTTGTTAGTGAGGGAGTTGATACAGGCATTGGGGACAGTCACAGAAATGTAGCACACATCTAAGATGGACAGGTTCCTGAGGAAGAAGTACATGGGCGTGTGAAGGTTCTGGTCAAATGTAGTAGCGGTGACGATGAGAAGATTCCCTAACAAGGTGGCCAAGTACATCAGAAGAAAGAACATAGGTTGTAGGAACCTTATTTCTCCCTTTTTAATGAATCCCATGAGGAGAAACTCAGTCACCATGGTGTAATTGGTCATTTTCTGGAAATGATATTTGACCTGGAATGCAGAAGGTATAAACAATGAAATATATGGCTTAGAAACACATTTCACAAAATTCTTTAAATATTTCAGTTGATTGTGTTTCCCTCCATTGTGTCAAGTTGGCCTTTGTGTAAAGAAAATGTCCATCATTATTAGTATTTTGATATGCTCAGTTTATTTTCAATTATTGATTATATGGGAAAATTGTAATGGTGTGGTTGTCCCATCTCATCTGATTATGTTATTCAGTGTTCATAGTTTATCAATCATATACAGCCCATGAGCTTTATTATTTAAGAAAGATGTCATGATTCAAACATAAGTTTAAATATACAACTCACTATATATATAGTTTATGTATTGCTTAGACATAAAAGAGAATGAAACTTGCCATTTGCAACCACATGGGTTGGGCTGCAGAAAAGGATGCTAAGTGAAATAAGTCAAAGACAAATACCATATAATTTCATTTGTATGTGGAATCTAAAACACAAAACCCAAGAAATAAACATCCCAATCTGAAAGGCACTCATACATACAGAGAACAAACTGGTGGTTGCTGGGAAGAGTGGGGATGAGGGGTGGGTGAGATAGGTGAAGACAAGGGCCATGAACTTCCATTTACAAAATGAATAAATCACACAGATATATTTACAGCATAGAGATTGTAGCCATAACATTTTAATAATGTTATTCCAAGAATGTTAACTAGACCTATCATGGTGATGATGTCATAATGTTTAAAAATATTGTATCACTATTTTGCACACCTGAAACTAATACACTATTATATGTCAATATTAACTTGAAAATAAGGGAACACATCACCATGAAAAATACACCGAGTTTTTAATAATAGTTATAAAAGCAGTGTAACATAATAGGTTATCTTGTAATATTATTCTCAATGAATATATTTTTACTCATAAATAACTCAAAAATGTTTACACTATTTACTGCCACCTTAAATTAATAAATTTTTTGTAGGTCTGACATAGGAAAACCCTTATGCACCTGTGAGAAGTACAAGCTAAAGTTTTAATTATTTAACTTTTTTAATGCTTACTCAGGATAATTCAAGAACTATTGAAAGCACCAAAGTTTAATTGGAAGAATAAATATACTGTCTTGTAAGTGCCTTATTTCAATGAGGGTACAATACATAATATGTTTTCTTATTCAAAGATTCAGAGATTTGTGTTTTTCTTATTTGTGTTTAAAAAGTATTTAAAAATTAAAATCATGGGTCCTAAAAAAAAATAGTAGACAATGTGCAATCATCCTTTTCAAGATGGTTACATGGAATGTTTAGATATATATTTAAAATGTTCAAAATGTCATAGAACTACAGAGACATTTTGATTTTTACACTAAAGCAATCACCATTTGTAACTCCAACAAAAATGGATATTGTCCACTAGTGTTATTGACTGAGCTCTATTGTTGTACTCTTCTATGTAACAAAAATACTATTTGAAAATTTCTTTCTTCATTTATTTTATTGTTCATTCATATGTTCAATCAAAAAACTGTAAAGAGTTTGAAGAAGTGAGGTATAAGAATCACATATGAGAAAATGCATCTATAAACTATATTATTATTGTTAGTTCAGACCTTAGATATATTCTCCAACTAAAACAAAAGTAATTTTGATTTCTTTACAAAGCCAACTAAGTTTTAGCAAAATATATAGTTAACATAATTTTGGAAAATATAATCATAAAAATATGGACTGAAGTAAACCCACCTGAGATGTAGAGTATATGAACCCTCAATGTAAATTTGCAGGTGAAAAAATAAAATATGAAATTTTAAATAAAACAAGGATTAAATGGAAATGAAAGATATATAAATGTATGATAAATAGGATATCTCCAAATTCCAAAAATATTCATGGAGACAATTTAAAATATTTTCCCTTTTACATTAGTATTTGGTAAATGTAAAGAGTTCCCCATTCATAAAGCCTTTTATACTTCTGTAAAATAATGAAATTTACAGTTCTTCTCTTCAAATATAAAAACAATTGACTTGAGAATCTCCAAGATTACAAATGATTTTTAAGTTACTGTTCCTCATGTTAAAAAGTTAACTACTGCTATTTACAAACACATTGGAAAATATTGAAGTGAAGAATTTAACTTTGGAAAATTCAAATGTGCTTTTGAATATTGTACTTTATATTGAATATACTACAAATTGTACATACATACACAACTACACAGCTATGTGTGTGCATATATGCAAATGTATTTCTATTTATAATACTCCTTAGTTCATATAACTAAAAGGGCTTTTAAAGATCCATAAGTGTTGATTGTCTAGATGAAATATTAAAATAAGTGATCCATTTGTTTCAACAAATTTCCTCAGTTCCAGTCCAAAGAACTAATTATTCTTGTCATGGATAACTGCCTGTCTATAGCAAACAGAATGCAATAACAAATCATGCTATTTTCAAATTTCAGTGGAGGAGAGAATACATGTTCTATTGTAATTAAATACACCTAAATTTTATACTAAAGCCAGGTATATAAATTAAGGTAAAGAATACTTGTACACTTCTGTAGAATTCTGAAAAATGATAACAAACAGTAAATGAATTCAAATAGTTTAATATTGCAAATTACTAGTAATACATACAATACCTAATTCCTTTGGTGGAATTACCTTAAAACAAGCAGTAATTGTTGACTCAATGTTTACTTAATGCATATAAAACTATTTACTTAATATATTTAATAGCATTTGATTTTTAACATAGTAAAAATGGTCAAGTTACAAGATATACAGAGATCCAAGACCCAGTATTTACTATTTAATTAGGATACTTGGGTTCTTGTGTGTAAGAAACTGGCTTTTTAATGTCCATTTCTACTCTTCATTAATGAAGTACTGAAAATCAATGTAACATAACCGGGAATATGTAACACAAGTCATATTTTATAGGAATTCTCTAAGCCTAGTATTTTCATTAAATAATTAAATGTTCAATTACTGGGATTTCTTAGCTTTAATTAAATAATCAATTGTTTTACAAAACAAAATAACATGAGACACTGAGTTGGCACTCTGCATATTTTTGCCATTTAGACCCACGTCCATATTTAAAATAAAAAAATTCTCAAATGAGGTAAAAGATTGCAGGGAGACCAGAGTGTGAGGTGAAGGGAGACACGTGGAAAGAGAAAAAAGAGCAGCCACCAGCCACTTACCCCTGCAGATTGCATGTTCATGATCTAAGTGGGAGCAAAGACCATTGTAGTGTGCTTCTCAAAGTCAACATTTTGAAGTAGTTTATGTGGATTTTCCTATTCAGACAGGAATTGAGAACTTCATCAGATGAAAAGTGAACTACCTTTAGGTTCTGGAAGAGGCCTTTCATGGGCTTCTTTATATAATATTGTAGACAGATCTGTGCCACCAACTTCAGAGCCCCTGGGAACAGAGTTCTTACAACTCATGGTTGGTCAGCTACCCAAGGGTAAGTTCAAACAGATAATGATCTCTAGAACACAGTGAGTGAGACACAATTAAAGTAGGAGAATGAAGACAATCATTGAGTAAGTATATATAGCATCTTATATAAATGTGCGTGATTACTGTAGCTCTGAGGGGCAGGGTGTTCTCAGCCCGGGACGAGTTAGATATGAATCAGGTAAAACGGAAGTAAGTCAAGGGAAATGATGGGTTGGCATAAAAAGTTTATTCCTTACAGTGATTTATCCCCCAAGTGATTGAAATTCTGCCATTAATCCGTAATTGCTAAGTTAATAAAAGAATACAAGTAGGGAACATGTGTGTCTCCTCGCGTTCACTGGGTACATCTGCATGGATCTCCCAGATCATACTGTATATTCCATGGAGCCCTGATTTCCTGTGTCCGCCCTGATCTGCCCGTAGAGACGGTCTTGATGATTGTCTCTGTCAAATACAGTTGTTCGTACCTGATGTGTCCCCTCCACCGCCCCGAGTGATTGAATGGACCGCGTCTGGTTCCCTGAGCTGCACAGGCAGGTGAGGCGCCAGGTGGCAGTGGCAGGAAGCTGAGTAAAGCAAGAACCAAAGATGAAAGTGTCTGTCCAGCCTTTAGTCACTTAGCATCACGGCGCAAACAGAGGTTGATCCGGAGGAGCCTGACTCCCACTATGCAGAGTCCATTCTAGGGACAGACCACTGGTCAGAGGCCAGAGAGGTCGGTGCAGGTGCGGGGTCACCACTACCAAGGGATCTGCAGATGGAAGGCTTGTGCGCCCGGGGTCAGAGGGACGAGGAGGAGGAGGGGCGGGTGCGCAGGCACACATCAGAGGGGAGGGGGGCGCTGTGAGGGTGCGTCCTCCCTGCCCTCCAGGAAGCCGGGCTCAAGGCCCCAGGGGAGGAGATCCTGCAGTGGGGGCAGGTGGACCTCACACCAGCAGGTCCCACCTGAGAGGCCTGAGTCATTGACTGGGATGTGTTTTCTACATGTTCAGTGTGATGATGGAGCATCAAGTATGGTGTGGGGAGGGTAAATTTTCCCTGCAGTGTCTGCTCATTAAAACCCTGAAATTGCATATAGCTGCCATGAAGGTCTGCTTAGAGGACTTTGGCCAAGAGTCAAATTGCTGAAAATAACCATCATCGATTTGAAAACTCTAAAGGTGTGTAGTGTATCTTTATAAGGAGAGTAGATAAGAAAAAGTCCATGCTTATTAAAGGCAAATATGATTCAGAGATCAGTGTTGTAGTTTCTTGGAGACATGCAGCCAGAGCTCAAACCCAGGATCTCATTTTTAGGAGCTGAATGGATGTGATCAAAGTTCTTTTTCAATTTGTTTTTCTTTTTTAAGAATCCACATCTTCCCTTTTAGTTGTTATCATGGACTATTTTAAGAAAGAATAGATTTACAATATGTACAATTTTAACCTATCTTAAAACTGCCAGAATTGTATCAACACCCTGCTGGTGATAATTTGATATTGTAATAAAATGCTCTATGAATCCATTATATCAA